CGATCAAATAACAGGTTACTTTTCATCCCGGAAAATGAACAGTTCCCGTGGGATAGATCTATTTGTGTTTTTCTAAAGGCGAACCCGAGCGAAGTGAGGGTGTTCCGCTAGTTTAATATATATATGGATATTTGCCTAATTTTTTCGTCAATCGAAATACAATAAAATAACTAATAAAAAGATGTTCCACTTTCGCTTTTAAGCATTCGAAACGTCGGAAATTAAAAACCAAATTAAATCCAGGAAAAAGTTAAAGCTATTTTTAAGATGCCCAAGTAGTGTCTAGATAATAGCAATAAATGGAGTATTTTTTTCTATTAATTCTATAATAGAAGAAACAAGGTATAATAAAAGAATCAAGAAAAGAGGTAAAGTTTGTGAGGTTGTAGGAGATCATCTCTGGATCTACTGAACCGATTTTGGTGAAACTTGGTAAGAAGATAATTTGAGACCCTGGACAGGACATAGGATACATTTTATCCTGGAAATCCCTTAAGGGGATGAAAATGGGCATGAAATTTGTATGGGGAACCAACCCAGGGCGACCGATGACCGGGCGAAGCGAGGTTGAGTCGCTAGTAAAATATAAAGTCACTAACTTCAGCTATTTGTAGTGTTTATTCTTAAATATGTATAAAATAAAAATAATTATTCCACTCTTAAAATGCTCCTGAAATTTATACTCGCAAAGTATACCCATACTATTCATAAAAAGATTATAAAATCGATTTAGAATTCTTAAAAAATACTCTAAAACTCAAATTAGATACTTACGAGTATATCCTACTAGCGACTCACCCACTCTCCTCGTGTTCATCTCTACTTACATTTTAACGTTTAGTATAAATGTCTCAGAGGTCAGATATTTTCCCGCAGTAAAAAGTATGCTATATGTAGACCCGGATAACCAACTATCATCATACTAAATTTCATCAAAATCGGTCCAGCGGTTTTCTCGTGATGGGGTCACAGACAGACAGACAGACAAAAATTCTAAAAACTATAGATTCGGCCTCTGAATCGGTAATAATGACTTTATCAATAAGAATATTTGATATACAGGTTCGACGCAGTTATAATTTTATTATATGTACCTACAGATATTTTGATATGCCACATGAATAAAGCAGCTGGCGAAATGCGAAAATGTGACCTTCTTATATTCTCATAGCATGAAAGTAACGTGGAGAGTAGTAGGATCCTGGACATATTTCATGTAATGAAATATTGAATCCCCAAAATGCTCCTGGAATATATCCGCGTACAATATCCACCCTATTCAAAAAAAGACCACGAAAATCGATTGGCAAAAATATACACAAAAAACACACTCGAATGAGATATTTCCATCTTTTTGCAATCAGTCGATAATATGAGCTTGTCATCAATTATAAAAAGGTCCGGGCTCCGAAATTTTATTTCCTAAGTAAATTCAAACCAAAGATGTAATTAAGACTAATGACAGGAAAAAGTTTAAATGAGAGTCTAATGATCACTGAAACCCTCACTTTTGTAATTAAAAGGTTTAAAATGCCCTTAAATGTAGCTGTATATTTTTGAACGTTTTACGATAAACTTTATTAATATATGTATATGCATAGTGGTCTAGTGGCTAGCATGTATGGCTGCAGATTAGGAGGTACTCGGTTCGAGTCCAAGGTCGAGCGAAGTTTAATTACTGAGTTTTTTTATTTAAGATATTCTCAGAGTGGCCCGGAGTTGGGAAGTTGGCGGTATTGAAGCCTCGAGTCTCGGAGAGCACATGTCACGTCGGTCCTACTCCTTAATTCTCACCGGTCATGTCGAAGTATCGTCCCGTTGGAATTAGCTTAGAGAGTAAAAGGAATAGAAAGTGCAATTGTGTCTGCGTGAACTCTTGTGCTCTATAATATTTGTTACGCTAGTCTCAATGTGATGGCCACCGTGGCCGTAATCGGTTAAGAGGACATTACATATATACATATATATCCTAGTTCACCCAGTACCAAAGAAGGGTAGTCATACTGATCTCTGCAACTATCGACCAATCGCCATTACCTCCATACTTTGTAAAGTTATGGAAAGGGTGCTTAACAGTAAGCTGATGTCATACCTTGAAGCTAATGATCTCCTTAGTGACCATCAATATGGCTTCCGCCGGGGACGGTCTACAGGGGACCTTCTTGTGTATGTCACACAGTACTGGGGTGAGGCCATCGAAAACCGTGGTGAAGCTCTAGCAGTTGCACTCGATATCTCGAAGGCATTTGATAGGGATTGGTACGCAAGTCTTGTCGCGAATACCGTAGGGTAATCGCGAAATAAATGTTTAATCATTCAAATTATTATAATTTGTCATTAACGTGACGGTAGTACGAAAAGAGTTCGATAGGATAGATTGAGATTTGACTCAGACGCGGTCGAGACGCGAGCGAGGCAGATCAGGAGTAGCACAGTGTGTTCTCAAGTAAGTGGATTTATTTTACCAGTTTGTGAATATTCAATGTTATTGCGTGTGAGCAGATTGCTTGATCAGAAATCAGATTCAGAGTATTCGATTCAGTATAGACATGTGTTAACATGTTATCAGATAAATCAGACCAGTGATGTGAGATCAGTTAAATCAGTTTATTAAATCAGAACAGTTATCAGCTTAGCGAGGCTCGGGGTGACTATAGGGGAGGTTGGAGGCCACTAGCGAGGGACCAGACCCTCGTACATTAAATCAGTATATGTTCATTACCAGCAATCAGTAAATCATATGTTTAACAGTTACATACATATAATTATTATGATATGTGTTGTATCTACGTCTCATGTTATATTCGTCTAATACCAATGAACAGGGTATTTGGCGACATGGTGGAGGTGCTGGGATCTGACATTTATTATTATTTAAAAAATATATTCTAAAGTGATAATAGTAAATCAATAGAATATTATATTTTAACTTTTATTCTCAAAAATTCAAACGTCGGTTGATAATTATAAATAGTATCGCGTGATGGTTATAAGTAAAGCAGTTTACCCGCATAATATCGAATGAATATCGTTTTCTGTTACGAGTACCTACATGTTCATAAATTTTTTATAAATAACATTTAATTTAAAATGAAAGAAGAAATTAGAATGAGGTATATATATTATGTACCTATATATAAAGCATAATCAATAATTGTTAGTTGAACGTTGAAAGTTTTAATTCTAAAGAATTTGAAATGATAAATAGTTAATTTCAAAAGCAGTTGTGATTCTACAGAGATTAAATGTTTTAAAATTATATAATCTCGATATTAAAAAGGTAATTAGTATAAGAAATATTTAGTTAATATGTATTATACTGTTATTTAACAGTACCTATTTTTATCAACGATTTTATTTTATATTGTAATATTCATGATTTTTTTTGATTACATAAATTAAACAGTACTTGTAGTAAAAAAGTCAGTGTTTCTCAAAGTTTACACTATTGAACAAAAAAAAGTCGAACAAAACTGTAAATAAAATAAAACATGATAAATGAAATATAAAATTATTCATATAATTTAATTTATAATAAATATGAAAACTGGCTAATAGTTAACTACGCTAGGATTTTGTGAGCTATTTATTTAGTATTATTTTGTGTCTTGTTACAGTTTCCAATATAATATGATTATTGATACTGAATTTTAAATACTGTATTCATAATGGAAGAAGTCATTCGAACCCGACTTAGAATTATTCATGAATCTCTTCTTACATATATAGATTCAGCTCAATGTGCGTATACACGAGTAATGGACAGTGATTTTAATTTAAATGAATTACAGTTAATTGAATCTAAATTAAAGGGAGCAGTTGATAGATTTGTTATAGAAATACATAATTATTGTAAATCAGTTAATGAATCCAACTTAGAAGAAATTAGTCAATACACAGCGACACAAATTAAGGCTCAAGATTTGATAGCAGAAATAAATGTTTGTCTAAACAATAGGTATAGAACAAAAGTACCACAGTCCGATGATAATCAAAATATAGTCAGTAAGTTACCGCGGATGGAACTAGCAAAATTCGATGGTAATGTACTTAAGTGGTATCAATTTTGGGATCAATTTTCATCAAACGTTGATAATAGGAATATAAGTGATGTTGATAAGTTATTATATTTACAATCGGCTCTAGAAGGTGACGCTAAACAGGCAATTGAAGGATTAGATACAACTAATAAAAATTATCAAATAGCGGTTAAAACATTAAAAGAACGATATGGAAAACCAAGCGTTATTATTGATGCTCATTATGTTGCATTATATAGAATTAAATCAGCAAGTAAAGCAGTAAAAGAGTGTAGACAGGTATTAAATGAGATTGAAAGGCATCTAAGGGTTCTTAGCTCTTTGGGCGAAGATGTTAATCATAACCATCTTCGAGTAATGATTATAGAGAAATTTCCAGAAGATCTTATTTATGAGTTACGGTTAAAAATGACTGACGAAAATGAATCTATTGATGTTATAAGAAAGTATTTAGAGTATATAATATCGGCAAGAGAAACGTCCAACAGATTAAAAAGAGAAATAGAAAGTTCATGCATAGAAGGTAGTAACAGTGAAAACAGGCTAAACGCAGAGCAATTTACATTAGGTTCATTACATGTAAGGACTGAAGACAATAGAAGTAATAAAAATCGTTTTATGACTATGAATAGGGAAAGACCTAGGGTAGGACATAAATTTAATGATAAATTTAAATTATTCTCACGAAAACGAACCCGTGATCTAGTTAATCAAACCGATGAGCCACCTAAAAAGAAGTTCATAAAAAGATGTGTATTCTGTAAACAAGATCATTTTAATGACGAGTGTACTAATTTTAAAACTGTACAAGATAGAAAATCATATTTAGGCAATCGTTGTTATAATTGCTTTGGTGAAGGACATAAATCTAAGAATTGCTTTTCTAAATGAAAGTGTAGTCATTGTAATAAATTTGGGCTCCATAATCGTGCTTTATGTCCCAATAAATCAGCCCCGCTAATGAAATCATCGCAAACTGATAGTCTGCATATTAGTTCTGCAGTAACAACCACTTTACTTCAGACTTGCCTTGTTAATGTTAGTGATTTGAGTGACAAGCCTAAAGAGAAAACTTGTAGATTATTACTTGATTCTGGTAGCCAACGTTCATATATAACATCATCAATTGCAAATCATTTAAACCTGCCCACTATAGAAAATGTAGATTTGTCTATTTTTACATTTGGTACGAAATCTCCACAATATATAAAAAGTCGTGTAGTTAATTTTATAATTAAGACGCGAATCGGTGTAAAGCGATCTATATACGCGAATGTAGTACCTCATATTACTAATTCCGTACAAGCGCCAGTATTTAATAATTCAGTGAAATTATTACAAGACAGTAGATTAAACAAACTCATTTTAGCAGATGATGGTTCTTATGGAGATAAAATAGACATTTTAATAGGTAATGATTATTATCATACATTTATATCGAATGAAAAGTTATGTATTTCTGATAATCTTTTCTTAGTAAGTTCAGATTTTGGGTGGGTATGGTCAGGTAGATTAAACGAAACAAATACGGTAGATCAATTATCAGTTTTAACCTATTTTCAATCAACAGGAATTTATGATAGTAAATTACATAAACCGGATCTTCCATTAAAGACAGACGATGTTAAAAGGTTATGGGATCTAGAATCGATAGGAATAGTAGATTCTCCAAAATGTTCTCATGATGAGGAAGCGATTAAACAATTTAATAAAACTATTCAGTACAAAGGCAATAGATATTACGTTAAATGGCCTTGGGCCGAATATCCTCCTAATTTACCTAATAATTTAGGCTTAGCTTATGGTCGTCTAAGTAATTTATTGAAACGTTTAGATAATTTAACTATAAAGTCATATGATAAAGTCATTCAAGAACAATTACAGAATGGTGTAATAGAGATAGTCAAAAACGCTTCCTTTTCACTGAGTCATCCTGTGCACTATCTACCACATCATTGTGTTTATAATCGAGATAAACCCAATAAGCTTCGTATTGTATATGATGCGTCAGCCAAAACAGTAGGAAATCAAAGTTTAAACGAATGCTTATATAAAGGCCCCTTAATGCTAGAAGATCTTACTGCGCTATTGATTAAATTTAGAGAACATGCGATTGGCATTATAGCAGACGTTGAAAAAGCATTTTTACAATTAGGTCTTCAAGAACCAGATAAAGACGTGACGCGCTTTCTTTGGCTGAAAAATATCAATGATTCAGTTAACAAAGAAAATATATTAACTTTAAGATTCTGTCGAGTACCTTTTGGAGTTATATCTAGTCCATTTCTCCTCAATGCTACAATAAAATACCATTTAATGAAATCTAATAACTCAATTTTAAACCAGATAGCCGACGATATTTATGTAGATAATATTATAACTGGTGCTAAAACGGTTTTAGAGGCACAAAACTTATACAACACGTCCAAATTAGCCTTTAATGATTTGTCTATGAACTTAAGGGAGTGGAATTCAAATTCAAAAGATTTTCTTTCACGTATACCTGATAAATTTTGTACAGATATTGAGGAAGTTAAAGTTTTAGGTTTAATATGGAATACGAGGGATGATAAATTATTATTGAAATATGATATTAGTCAAACAGATTTAGATTCAGTTTACACAAAACGAAGTATTTTAAAAATAATTGCTTCGGTTTATGATCCTTGTGGTTATGCTGTTCCAATAGTGCTTCCAGCTAAATTATTTTTCCAGAAGTTATGGAAACAAAAGATTTTATGGGATACTAAGATTAATAGTGATTTACTTAATGAGTGGAAGCAAATAATATCGAAGTTTAGTTATCTTAAAAATATTAGCATTGACAGATATTTCTTAAAAAGTATAGGTAAGGAGCAAGTTAATTTACAGATTCCAAAACTAGAATTGCTTGGAGCACTTATTGGAAATAGACTATTACAGTACGTAAATAAAAATTTAAGGTTAAGTATAAAGGCGCAGGTTTTGTGGACCGATAGTCAAATAGTTTTAGGTTGGTACCATTCTAGTAAGCTTCTTTTGCCTTTTGTGTCGCGGAGGATTAATGAAATCAAGCAAAATAAAACTTTAATTCTTAGGTATATACCTGGTCAATACAATCCAGCAGACATAGGTACGAGATCTGACCGGATAGATCATTATGATAGGTGGCTCAAAGGTCCAGACTTTTTACTAGATAACTCTGAAAATTGGTTTTCTATGTTTAATAATTGTGTATATCAAGTGGAAACGCAAATCTCTTCTGTCGGGGAGGGTCTCTCGAATGAGAATACAAATAATAAAAGCACTTTAGTTGAGAATGAAAGTAATATAAATAATTTAGATATGATAAGTACAACCGAATTAGATAAAGAACCAATTAGCGATAGTGACAGTGATTTAGAAATTATTTTGAAAGTACAAGCTCAATATTTTCCAGAAGAAACGAAAGGTATTGTATCTAATTTTGCAAGATCACTTGGCCTATATAAAGATGTCAATGGGATATTGAGATGTAAAGGTAGATTTAAACATACTGATTGGACTCATTGTCATAAAGAACCTATATTACTTCCAAAAAATTCAGAATTTACACATAAAATAATAGCTGATTTACACGAGAAAAACTATCATGTTGGAGTATCTCATACATTGGCTTTACTTAGAAAAACATTCTGGGTTCCTCATGGTAGATCAACCGTACAAAAGATTCTTAGAAAATGCCGAAATTGCTTAAAATACGGAGGTGGTCCATTTAAATTGCCAGCGATGCCCGATTTGCCATCAGAAAGAGTTAAGTTTAATTTACCTTTTACATTTACGGGAATGGATTATTTTGGGCCGCTTTATGTAATAAATGACAGTAAGGAGAAATGTTGGGTGTGTTTATTTACATGTTTGACGATCAGAGCAATACATATGGAAATTGTTAGAGATTTATCAGCAGAAGAATGTCTATTAGCAATCAGAAGATTTGTTGCAGTACGAGGTTTACCCAAACTTATTATTTCCGATAACGCCACACAGTTCAAACTTACAGCAGAGGTATTGTCGTCTGATTATTGTATCTTGAATAAGATACGTTGGAAATTTATACCTGAATTAGCTCCTTGGTTTGGGGGCTTTTATGAACGTTTAATAGGCTTAGTAAAGCATTGTCTTAAAAGAACGGTGGACAAACATTCGCTTAACTTTAATCAGTTGTGTACAGTTATAAAAGAAATTGAAGCGATCATTAATACTAGGCCCTTGACACCAGTAGGAGCTGAACTAGAGCATGTCTTAACGCCATCAGATTTTTTACGAATCGGAGGAACAACTACGACCGAGATATCGGATCGTGACCTTCTAGAGCCATCTTCAGTTACTAAATATAACCTAATCGATAGTTGGAAACGTGGTCAGATTATTATTCAAGAGTTTGTGAAAATGTTTAGTAATCAATATTTATGTAGTCTTCGTGAACGAAGAAACAGACATAGACAAGCAAGAGTTGTAGTTGACAGGATACCGAGGGTCGGTGAAATAGTTCAGATAAAAGCAGAAGGTAGTAGAGTGAACTGGAAAGTTGGCAAGATAAAAGAGCTTATTAAGGGTTCGGATGGACATATCGGAGTTGCAAAAATTTATACGATGACAGGAGAAACGTTGACTCGATCAATAAGTCATCTATATCCTCTTGAAGTTGAAGATAACATGAATACAGTATCAGTTCCTGAAAGGGAATCAATACAGGCAAATCAGTTAGAACAACCTGGAATAAGTAAAATAGCAACCAGTGAAATTAAAAATTCAGCGCCCAGTAATTCCAAACGACCAAGCAGAGTGTCAGCTATGAAAGCCAGGGATAGAGTTAAAAAATGGACTTCTCAACTTATGTTAATTTTATTTGATAAATTATAATTTATTCAGATATTTTAAATCAGATGATTGTTGTTTCTGTTAAGATTTGTAATCAGTTTATGAAAATTAAAGACTAGTTGTAATCAGTTAAATCAGAGCAATTTTATTTTCCTTTTGGCGGGGAGTGTCGCGAATACCGTAGGGTAATCGCGAAATAAATGTTTAATCATTCAAATTATTATAATTTGTCATTAACGTGACGGTAGTACGAAAAGAGTTCGATAGGATAGATTGAGATTTGACTCAGACGCGGTCGAGACGCGAGCGAGGCAGATCAGGAGTAGCACAGTGTGTTCTCAAGTAAGTGGATTTATTTTACCAGTTTGTGAATATTCAATGTTATTGCGTGTGAGCAGATTGCTTGATCAGAAATCAGATTCAGAGTATTCGATTCAGTATAGACATGTGTTAACATGTTATCAGATAAATCAGACCAGTGATGTGAGATCAGTTAAATCAGTTTATTAAATCAGAACAGTTATCAGCTTAGCGAGGCTCGGGGTGACTATAGGGGAGGTTGGAGGCCACTAGCGAGGGACCAGACCCTCGTACATTAAATCAGTATATGTTCATTACCAGCAATCAGTAAATCATATGTTTAACAGTTACATACATATAATTATTATGATATGTGTTGTATCTACGTCTCATGTTATATTCGTCTAATACCAATGAACAGGGTATTTGGCGACAAGTCTACTGAGCAAGCTTCCTGCTTACGGCATCCCCTCCGACTTTTGCGACTGGGTATCAGACTTCCTAACCGAACGGTCAATCAGAATCGTCGATGACGGCTGCTCCTCCGATCTAATGGTTATTGATGCCGGAGTTCCACAGGGTTCTGTTCTCTCTGCGACTCTTTTCCTGCTACACATCAATGGCCTACTTTCACCACGTATTGTTGCATATGCAGGTGACAGCATAGTCATAGAGAGCTATGTGCCCGGTGCAAGGGACGAAGGGGTAATAATAAGTACTTTGAGAGAGGCCATGTTGGAGCGTACAAATGCGACCTTAAGTCTTGTCTCACAATGGGGTGATGACAATCTGGTCGATTTCAACGCCGCCAAAACGCAAGTCTGTCTATTTTCCGCAAAAAGGAGTCCGTTCAGCCTGACTCCTACTTTTCGTGGTACACCTGTAGAGATTTCCGACAGTCTAGAGCTTCTCGGCATAAGGTTGAGTGCAAATCTTAACTTTGGCGACAATATCGAGTCGAAGGCACAGACTGCGGCCAAGAAACTGGGCATCCTTAACAAGGTTAAGCGATACTTCACGCCTGGACAGCTTCTCACATTATATAAAGCTCAAGTCTGATCATGCATGGAGTATTGCAGTCACCTTTGGGATGGCTCTGCAAAATACCAACTTGCCGCTCTTGACTCGGTGGAACGCAGAGCTAAAAAGCTAATCGGCAACGAAAAGCTTGTGAAAACTAAGCTTCACAGCTTAGCACACCGTCGCCAAGTTACTTGTCTATCGGTTTTCTACAGACTGTACTTCGGGGAGTGTGCCCACGAGCTCCACAGTCTCATACCGCCATCGCCATTCATCTATCGGAACACCAGACGTACTGCAGGATACCATCCTTTCTTGGTTGACTTCCGACCACTCGCACTAAGCGCTATTCATCATCTTTTATAATGCGCACAGCCAAGATGTGGAATGCCCTGCCTGCGTCTGTTTTTTCGAGTGCGTATAACCTGAATCTATTTAAGGTGCGTGTTAACATTACAAGAACTGATAACAGAATTGTCTTAATTTTTAATATTTAGACTTTGTTTAGAAAATTAAACTATGGTACATTGTACGTACGTATGATTTCTCCTCGGAATGAGATATTGCTGAAATCTTAACCATCGTCCAAAATAAGAAAAAACAAATTGAAAATGTAAAAGAAAACACTTTTAACTCTTTCACATCTTTCTGTCTGTACGCACATTCATTACAGCCCGTTACTGAGTAATAAAAACGTTATAAAACGCAATAATTTTTTAAACCACAATACTAGTGATCTGTAAATAGCCAAGGTCGTGCTAGATTTTAGACCAAACTTGGACAAACATTTTTCTCATATGGGAATAATACTCACTTCCAGTACTGTAGGGTAAGTAACACGAAATCAAAATAAATCTATACATATAATAAAATTCTAACTGAGCCGAATCATTAAATATTTTTTTGGAAAATCTCATTGAAATAGTCATTATTACCAATACAGAAGCCGAATCTATACTATTTAGAATTTTTGTCTGTCAGTCTGTCTGTCGGGGAACGTATCACAAGAAAACCACTGGACAAATTTTGATGAAGTTTAATGATAGCTGGTTATCCGGGTCAACAAATAGGATATTTTTACTGCGGGAAAATACCTCATCTCTGAGAAATCTATACCTATACAGTATAGATATATAACAAAAAAAAATGTTGATATACACATTAAACATGATTATAATAATAATTGGTAAACAACTTGACCGACGTAACTAATGATAAAAACATTTCCATATAACTATTCCGTTTTATTATTTAATTATACATTGTCTATACAATAAAATAGAATATTTGTAAGAATTTTAGTAACTTATTACGTTAATTTGTAACAAATAATATAAATATACAAGGTTTAATTAAATAGGTCAGAATAAACTACAAATAAAGCAGATCGTTTTCTCAATATAGGTTGTTGAACAAGTTGTCACCATTCACGAGTAATGGGGCCCCTGAGGAGATGTAAGTGCCCAAGGAAATGGCATCAATGGCTTTGGAAACGCTTACATAGAGAGCACGTTTACATCGATTACTTACGCGATTGGTATCATTGGTATGGCTCTCAAGTTGGAGTCCATTAAATCTTCACAAACTTAACTGCTTTGTATTGTCAAATTTTTGATTATCTACACATTTTTGATAGCTATAATTAAGAATAGAGCGAAATGAAAAAGTGGGAGAACATCACAAATATATATATATATTTATATTTATATATATATATATATATGTATGTCACACCAAGAATGACTTTATTTCCCTCTTGTCTTCTTAGATCTTGAAAGGCATACCAATGTAAATAAAAAAATATGTAATAATTCACAAGAGTCAATGTGCATAACGCATAGAAATTGTTAATAGGCACAATTGCATAGTTGGATAGACGACACTGCTACCATTCCGATATTGTACAGTTCCAAGCAAACGAACCTTGCATGTTATTTTTTTTTTGTTCCGTGAAGTCTCATTATGTAAAGGTTGGGTTTCACATTCGTTTTTTCGAGTAAATTTTCATGTCACGTTCGCTATTGAGTTGGGTCTTCTATATCGATAGCATAATATTAAGTCATTACATCATGAACGTTCTTTTTTAGGATAAATTTTATTCAATGTAAAATATGTATAAAATAAAGAGATTTTAATCGTGCTGTTTTTATATAAACGTATGTAACATACTATCTTCTATGCAAGCACCCATAGTCGAAAGATATTATCGGAAATTGTTTTAAATTCTAGCAAAAACAAATTACTCAAGAAAACGAAGTGTGAAAAGGAGGTAAATAAATCAACCCAACACTACACAATACACATATTGCGTGTAACACAAGCATCCCTTTATAGGCGACCGATCATTGCATCGAGCTCGTCAAGCTCTCACAAATCCATGCAGGACACTGCGATACCAGCATCTGGCTCTGACAAACGAGGCCATAAATGGAGACACGTCCAAGCTGTCATGGCCTACTACCAGGCACTAAGGAAAATTAAAAGGTGTGCAGGCGAGGACGACGGTAACGCCGCATCGTTGTCAATTTTTAACGTTATTTATATTAACCTTTTGTTTGTTTCCAACTAATGTGATGTTCGTCTCTCTGTCGTGTCTAGGATTTCGAGAATGGTACTTTCTGGTCGATGTGTTCTTATCGTAACTATGTGCCTTTTCTAGTTTCACTTTGAACAATTCTACTTTTCTTATACTATTTCTTGGGAAATTGAATCTATCATATTTAATATTTGTTATTGTTTCATGCATCCTGACCGTTTACATTTTTAATAGATTTATAAGTATTAGTGGAGTTAACTAGATTGAGTTAGTTATTTAGTTTTAGTTCAAATAGGATTACTAATATTACTGTACAGACTCAAAGTGAGAATTTTGTTTTTATTGCAAGGCCGCATGTCAATTAAGGTAGTATTTGTTTATTGTTTGCACGTAAAGTGAATTATCTATCCGTAACAAAAACAACAACACTTTTATGTATTTATGCCGACAGCTTTACATCGTGGTATTCTGCTGAAAAAATATCTTGCAAATTTACTGAGAAATTTCTATTTGTATTATATTGTATGACATTCACCAAATATTTTTGTGTATTTCCCACTAATCTTTGTCTATTTCCATATGATATGATGGAATAACATATTTTCTTTTATCAAATATGTGCTATTGTGAAATCTTTATGCTGAAATCTAGAGGAAAATATTTTGTGGACGTTGAACGTTAAATTAACTGAAACTTTTTGCACTGATCTATACTCACTAATCACAGTCTTTAAGCACTGTAATTTAAATATATCAGAAAAAATTATTTAACCTGCCTAAACTTTTGAACTTCATAATTTAATATCTCTTAGAAGCTATTTTTAAAGCAGATCCTTACCCTTCTCAAAATGACGATAAAACTGATTTACTAAGTATTTTCTTTAATAATTTATAAAGTTTCTATGTTTTTAATGTTTTATTGTGAATAATGCAGAACAAAGTCGAATCAGAGATGGATGAAGTTGCGGACAACAGTGCAGCTGAGTTCGGCCATCCAAAAGAAGCCGCCTTTGAAGAGAGAAGATTCATTTTTGAAAAGATTCTCAACGCGGCAGATACCAGAAACTCAGGAAACAGTGAGGATCTATAAAAATATTGACCACATTTTCTCATTTACGCAAAAGATTGCTTTTAAAGTTTTTTTACGATAAAGTTTGCTTTTCATTATAGATGGTAACCTGGTTTAGGTATAAGCATGTTTGTTTTAGTTGTTTTAATAATTCAAATAATTTTTTATTAAAATACATTTTTTAAAACAACTTATAAATGTAATAGGGTTTGATTTAATTTTAAGTTTTTTTATTTTATTTTAAGTATTTATTCGTATTTTTCTCAGCAAATCCTCTCATTTGATATCCATATCATGGGGATGCATAAAAAAATACAGTCCGCCATGCTGGATTTAGAATGACATCACTTTTTTAACCATGCATTGTCATCTAAACTAAACGTGAATCCAAAATTTTTGCTAAATCGGTTGAGAATAACTGCTTTGAAATTCAGTTGCCATATTTGACCCGAACATACATACAAACATAGAAAGCTTAACAAAAGCTTATAAAAATACTGGAAGCATATATTTTATGACCGTAAGATCGTGGATTTTGTGGATGGATAAACCATTTTCATTTTCATTTCAGTCTTTCTGTTAATGCTCATCTAAATCTTAAAATTAGTAAAAAGTTGAGATTTTAACGTGTTATTTTATTAAATAAAAAATATTATAACCTATATTACTTAACTATAGTAATTTACTTAAGCTATAATACAAAAAGTGGAATTTTCTCGTGCCAATTTTAGAATAAAAGCACTTTAAATGCTAATGAAAAGATAATAATAATAGACAAAATTAAAAAATAATAAATGGTATTTTTTATTCAGGTAGAAGACACAGGGTCAGAGGGCGCGACTGGAGAGCACAGAGTAGCCAGACAGAGGCGGCGAAAAGTTCGAGTGCCACGAACAGTTGTGAATCCCGACGAAAACTTTTATTTCTACTGGCTCTGGCTAATCACCCTCTGTGTCTTGTATAATCTATGGACCCTCATTGTGAGACAAAGCTTCCCTGAGCTACAGGTAAGACAGTTTGTTATAACGTAAAATGTTAAGCATTTTTATATTCTTTTAATTTATTACCTGTTTTATCCTTAGGTATTAAAAGAATTAAGTTCTTGAGTTGCTCTGACCCCGATTTTGATCTAACGCCTAATCTTAATACTGTAGTATATTTTTAAATAATTACATAATATAATATATTACTCAAACTGTTGAAATAAAATTAAACTTCGTTATTTTATTTGAATTTATGGATTACTAGGATTATTAAATATAAATCAAATGTTATCACCAATCGCTAATAAAAATAGACTATTCTTATCTACAAACTAACTAGCCCAGTCGAGTTGTCGAAAATATGTGCCTAACAGCAACCAAATAAAAATTGCGACCAAATTCGAGCGTTGCGTTAGCCACCATCTTGATTTTGAGGAGAATCGTTTTTCATCTATATCTCGGCTATTTTCAATTTTTCGAGAAAAATCATAAAATCAAGAGTTATTCAATTGTCTATATTTCATTTGCTGCTCATTTTTGCGTGCAATCGATATTTTCCAAGTTAACGGGGAAAAACAGATGGAAATGTAATTATAGAATTATCTCATTTATTATTGACTTTAGAGTTTAAATGCACAGGAATAAAGTTGTGTGGAATTAAAATTCCTACAGTATTAATCTCTGAGTTTACACTTCAAATGTATGTGGGTAATAATGGGTGGTGAAATAAAATTTTGGCCTAGATTTTTTTCGGGGTTCAATCCTAATCCGACTGGGCTAAATGTGTAGTGCCACAAAGGAGAGCTAGCCCTTAAAAATCTATGACGTGAAAAAACAAGTTCTATTGAATTGCAATTGATTTTTTTGTTATCTTTCTAACACAGATTTCTGTACCAGAAATGCTAAATAATATCTCTCAAGAGATACAATAGTGAATGTAAATAGTAAGTTCAATATTTTGCATTAAAGTTGTGACTCCTCATCGAGCTGTGGTTTTGGATCTTACTAACCGATTAAAATGTATATTTTTTAAGATGCCTTCTACAAAGCTCAACATTTTTTAATTAAATATATTATTTACTGTCTAAATATTTTGAATTTTTTTTACAATTTATATTCAAGTTTTAGTTTATATAAACTATTTAATTTAAAAGAAAACAAAGTAGATTCCCCATTTAGACATCGTCCTTCGTAGCAATGCAGGCGTGCAATGCAATAACGATGCACTCGACCGTACAACCAAGAGTCCTGAAAACTATGGTTGGTTGAACAGTCATATATCGTCGTCTCTTTATATGCCAAGTTTAAACCAATGCGTTGTCAGATCCGTCCGTTGTCAGAAATAAACTCAAAACATTTGGAAAATCGACTTAAATAAAATTAAAACGGTAAAATTATTTTTCAGATATATTACTACTACGAGCATTATCAGAAGTGAAGTTGGCTCGATCTAATTCTCTAATTCAGATTTTATGAAGACAATCACAAATTGTGTTAGATCGCGCGTGGATCGGTTATACAGACTTTTACTGAAACTTTTTTATTGGAGATAAGAATTCAATAATATGATCTTACAATAAATTTTGGTTTAACTGGTTTTGTAGATCTATAAAAAAATCAATTTTGAAACAGAGCAGTGGTCAAGTTTAATAGACTAAAATATACACGCGACGAAACAATAGACAATAACTAGTAAAGCGATAAGTTCAAATTAGTGTATGTTCATCCCAATATGTACCTTTGTTACTTCTTGTAGCCCTCATGGCTATGGCAGCCCTAATAAAATCACGTAGCACTACGTCAAGGAAACTAAAATTTTGATGGCCGTAATGACTAACCATAATAGCCCTTGATAATATTTGAACGAATAGATTTCAACAACGTAAAAGTTACTTATCAAGATCCAGTCAGCATTTCTAGGCAGTAGGCGAATTCAATTGCTACTTACATATCATATGATGTTAACGATTTTCAACGAAAACAAACTATTGGAATATTGGCTTTACAGAATGCGTGTAGCTTTTCACAGAATACCAACTGTCAGTCAAATGTTACGCTTGGACTGCCACGTCTGAAGCGTTCGAGCGCGTAGTTTAATCATAGGCAGCACTTAGCGGAAATACCATAAGTTTTTCTTTCCTATTGTTCCATAGATAAGGAACCGAATCTTTAATTTTAAATCGGAAAAAATCTAATTTATAGTTAAATAAAAACATACATATTAACAGGATAATGACATAAAATTAAGTAGGTGGAAAACCGCAATCCTTCGAAAAAATTTCAAAATACATAGACATAACTATATTCACGAAGAAAGTTTTTATCATATCTATTTTGTTACAACACGTCACCAACTAGATGAACCTACACCGTTCAACCGATCGCCATTAAAATTCGTAATCAGACTGGATAAAAGAAAAATTGAAACGTCATTCATTCACGCAGGTGTAACCATGAGCACAAGCTAGTATGTAATAAAAAATATATACTAATATAAATAAAAGATTCACAAAACTTAGACGCGATGCCTCTTACAATGGTTACGCTTATTTTGAAACCAATCCACCATCCCTTCTGTTAGTATAAATTCTAACCTTTGTGTCCACAATCCTCGCAGGCACAATGCCTATAAATCCCTAGGTAGGATATAAGAAATTTCAAGAAAGTAAGTAAAGTTAAAAAAAATAAAGACGAATTTGTACTATAATATTATAAAGAGGTAAAGTTTGTGAGTTTGTGAGGTTGTAGGGGATAATCTCTAGATCTACTGAACCGATTTAGATGATATTTGGTAAGAAGATAGTTTGAGACCCTGGAAAGGACATAGGATACTTTTTATCCCGGAAATCATCCCTTAAGGGGGTAAAATGGGGATGAAAGTTTGTATGGGGAATCAAGCTAGGGACGAACCCGAGCGAAGTGAGAGTGAGTTGCTAGTAGAATAAAAGCTAATGAGGTTTCATCTGGACCTTTTGAGAATGACTGTATCATCTATTTCATATATTCTTATCTTATAAATGTATTCTACTCGACCGATTATATGAAGAGTTTAGTACATTGTTCTTCCCTTAAATACCTTGTAAAAACAAAACGAACTTGCGTAATTTTAACCGACTTCGAAAAAAGAGGAGGTTCTCAATTCAGATTTTTTTTTAATTATGTTCGGGTATAACTCCGTCATTTATAAGCGTATTTGCAAAATTCTTTTTGTTTGTTCGAAAAAGGTTTATTTCTAAATGGTCCCATTTAAATTTGAAAAAAAAACATCCCTAAGTATAGAAAATAGGGTATGATTTATTTTTCACCTACTAAATTTTAAAAAAAGTCTTCTTATTTTGCTACTACTATATCTCCACAAAAAATAGAAAAATAAAAACTATATGATATGAGTCTGTTGCTAAAAAATATTTAAGCATATATTAATTTTTTTTAATAAATGTAATTGATATAAGGTTAGTTGAAGATAGTTGAAGAACATATGACCTAAATTCCACTTTGCCCTAGCTATTACTAAGCTGTTGCAAGTTCTGAAATCGATCGATAAGGCCGTGTCTGCATCAATTGTTGCCAGATAATAGGATCTCTAAAGTATACACCGTAATAATGGCGTTATAGACAAAGGCTAGATTATACATTCGACTTTATTACGTTATTAGTGTCTCCTTATAGTCTTCCTAAACGTTTTTCCAATAACTAGACAATTGAGATTTTAAATAAAACTATCTCTTCGGATTTTTTCGCGGATTAATTTTGGTTTTTGGTCCCCGACGTTTCAAATGCTTTACAGCAATCAAGGTCACAGAAGAGGAGGGAGGTTTAAGACGTTTCAAAGATACATATACATATATGTATAGTTGTAGGTAGGCACTGTCTGTAACAAATAATTATTATTAGACAATTGATACAAGTATTAGACAATTAAGATCATCCACTTTTTATAGGACTAGCTTTTGTCTGTACCTCTGTTCTAAAATAGACTTTAAAGTAAAAGTAAATTTAAATTTTTCTTTTATGTAGACTTATTTTTAGCCCCTTTAAATTACGAATTGTTGTCCAATTTTAATCTTACCTTGTAACTAATAATATGATAGGTTTTATACAAAAATGGTAGTTTACAAAATACTGTAAGATCAGAATCCCTGTCTGAAAACTGTGCAACGTTTAAATGTTTAACCCTTGCAGCAAGTCTTGCTACATGTATGTTTCCAACTAATAAATTTATATTCTTAAGTAAATATGTTTCCAACTTTTTAGTTTGTTTTTACGCAAACAGTGGTTTTTTTATTTAGTAAAAAGCAACTAAATTTTGTAAATCTCGGCTCATTATAACTAATTTTAATTTATCTATGTATGGGTCAAAGTGTTCAATTTGATATGGATCCATAGTTTATATTTTAGTCCGAAATTTTGATTTAACAGTACATTTGAGAGAAAAACATATTATATATTCTGGACCTGTAGGAGTAGTTAACGTATGGTGTACCACTTAAGAGCTGTTATTTACACGATGCCTGCAGATAATTGATAATGCTTCCTGGTGGAACCAACTAAACCACAGTAAAAGTGTTCCCGTCCATATATGACAAAATGTTGAGATTAAATTATAAATTCTAAGATGTTTGCATCAGTTTAAGATATGATAAAAATAAATAAAAATATTGAAGTTCCATTGCCAATCTTAAAAATTTCTTCATTAATTTCGAATGAGTCAGAAATAGGGAAGGTTGTATGAAGGTATGTTTTCCATTTTGATATAACTCATAGGGGCGAATAATATTAAAATGATCATTAGATGGCGCTGTACCGCATCAACTTTTACACCGTTCTACCGATCAACATGAAAATTAATAAACATTGATATTTTTTGAGTAAGGGGAATGTTTTCGCAGTAGACATACATTTAAGTGGCTATAATTTTTTTCAATGAAGGCAACATTATCAACTGAAAATTAAACTGCCTGTATCTGAAAGTATTACCATACTTCGAAGAGAACTAAAAAACGATTAGGTATGTCATTTCCCTAAGTTGGTTAGCTAGCAATTCGATGGTAATTATAGAATGTCAACGTATCTAATTTCTACACAATTTTAGTATTTTAATAACCACATTAATTATTGTAGAAAACAATACCTTTAATTATATAGTAATAAAAATAATTTCTATTTTTATTATTTTTATTTTATATTTTAATTTAATATCTTTCGAAAACTTGCTAGATTCTCTCAAGTAGGTTTCCTCATGATTCATGCATGAGAATTTCAGAGACGCGATACCCGGAATTTGAACTCGTTTTACTTGGTTTCCCAAGCAACCACATTACTACTGGGCCTTGCTGTATATCTAGCTTACCAAAATATTGGATTTCATCAGCCACACCCTCCCTTGGAAAATTCATTCTGCAGATTGATATATAATTACTATATTATGCTTAAAAATAAATGTTTGACCTAGCTTCCAATTACATGCAACATTTGCCAAAGCTCTGACCTCATCCACCTAGATATAAGTGGATGCTAAATTGATTGAAATGTTGGAATACGAGGGGTTATAATATACCTATATATGTAGTATAACGAATGATGCAATTAATTACAGCATCATAATTCAATTAGAAATCGGATATATTTATTACATTATTAAATTATAGCTTACCGTGTTAATTGATACATTTATCTTTCTCGTTTTACATTGCCAATATTATATATAACTAGCATTTTCCCGCGAAGTTTAAAATAACGGATTGCTATAGGAAATTCCAACCCATTTTCCCAAAGGAGATGATTTTCCAAAACTTCTCTATCGGATACCTACTAGGTATAAGGAATCAACGAAATTTCAAATTTGGAGTATTCATATTGTCTGAGATTTCGTGATTTAGAGTCATTTTTTCTCCATTTTTTTTATATGCAGGTTCTTCTTATAATCCTTCTTGAAATATCTGACTTTGTCATATAATATGGATCTAAACGGATTTTGTTCTACATATTCCCTTTAAAAATTGAACACTTGGCTTCTATTATACTGCAAACACACCTCAAACTTAAACTGTTCAAAAAAAAATGTGTACAAAAAAATATAAAATTGAGTCTGTTGTAATGTTATTACAAATATTTATATTATAAACCAACAAATTATACGAGACGAGTAGTACAAAATATATGTTATTTTTTTAAAGATAATTATAAATTACACTATATGTACCTACATCATTGCTTATTAAACCAAAAAATAACATCATTCGGTGCAATTTTATACTCAAAATCAA